TGTCGACCTTGATGTTCGCCGCTGTCAGGCTGCTCTCGTCCATCTCCTTCCGCAACGCATCAATGCTCCGGCTGTACTCCTCCAGCGCATTGCAAATCTCCTCTTTGAAATCGTCAATCACGACGAAATCTGGAAAAAACGGGATCAAATCTTCAATCTTGAGGAGGTCGTTGCAGCGCTTGAGGAACTCAATCGCGGCCTTGATGCCGTTGGATTGCGAAATGACCTTTTTCGCGACAGCAAGCCAGAGTTTTTTCCGCAACGCGGGGTTCGACATGGGCCGGTCGGCAACGATGGACGCGAGCTCGATCTTGTCGTGCGACAGGGCCAGGTCCACAGCCTGGACGTACTGTCCCATGCTGGTGTAAATATGTGCGCAAGACAGGACCCGGTGGTTCTGTATGCACAACCTCAGCGCGAAATCCTGGTCGAAATTCGGCTCGTCCCCCTGTGAGGCGAGATAGGCCATGAGCTGGGACTCGTCCGTTGACGAGTGCGAAGCGTAAATCGACACCAGAGTGTTGTGAACAGCCGCGTCTGTCGAGCCGAGCTGGTTAACCACATACTGCAGATACCGAACAGCCTGGTTCTGACTCAACGGCCCCTTGAAGTTCCTGTCATACTCCAGCAACGCCGGGATCAAATTCCGTGGGTCAAGGTTGCTCTGTCGCATCAAGATATCGACCAGCTCGGTAGCGGCATGCGTCATAAGCACGCTGCTGTGCCGGTAAAACACCCCGGCATCGGTCTGCCTCTTGAGCACCTTGAGCGCCTCCGACCACCTCTCCCTCTGAACCCAGTACGACAAGACATAATTGTAGTCGTTGATGACATTGGCATAATACAGCAAACTCCTCCTCCCCGGCCATGGCTGCTGATGATATCATAGAACAGTCTGCCGGTCAAGATCCTGCTTGTGCTTCGTGACAAAGTCCTGAAACATCTGCCCTCACGGCCTCGAGCTGCTTCTCTCGTCTGGGTCGGGCTCAACGTCTTCAGACAACTCCGCCCCTGTGATGATAGTGTCATCCAGCGAGTTGAGCTTGGCCATAAACACCTCCACCAACCAAGCCGCAATCATGACCCTCTGCATCACAAACGACCTCTTGTACGTGCCCAGCTTGGTCAGCAAGTACTTCCTCAGCGCATCCGGCTGGTCGTTGTCAGATGAACGTCAAACGCCACCTCCTTCAAACGGCTTGCTGCTCTTTCCCCATACACCCCCGCCGCCTCGATTGTGCTGCCCCTTTCCCCACCATGTGATCCCCATGCGCAATCGCCACCGCATCCTTCTGCGCGGGCGTGCGCGCGTGCTGCAGCGCTGCCTCAAAGTCCTCAAACTTGAGCATAATCTTCCAAATATCCCTATCCTCCTCCTTGGGCACAATCTCCAATATCTCCTGCGGCGTAAACAACCAGAAAGTGTTCTTCTGAACATCCACGCTCAACCCCACCGCCCTCTGCCCCTGCTCCAGCGCAATCTGATCATAGACAATATCCCCCGTCAGCCGATTGGCAACCACCACCCTCCTCCCAACCAAGCAAATAACATGCCACTGCGTCAACGCCACAGCCTCGACGTCATCCGTCGAAACCTGCCTCTTCCCCCCCGCAGCCTCCACCCCATTCGGATTCGTCAGCTGCCCCTTGGCCAACAGCCTCCCCTCATTGAAAACCCTGCTCCCCAAATCCCCCGTGTTCCCATCCACCAACAGCCGTCCATGAAACACCCCCTGCGAACTCAACCAAGCAAACGCCCTCTCGGGCACCTCTTCCTCCCTGAACCTCGTCGGATTAACCCCCTGCTCCACCACATCCGGGCTCACCACCAAACTCCCTCCCTGCCCCGGCCTCCCATCCCCAAAACTCACCGGCTGCTCCCCCTCAAACAACCCCCCATAAATCCCTTGGTGCCCCTCATGCCCCCTCCTCCCCACCTTTCCAACCCAGTGCATCAGCCTCCCCCGCGTAGCCACCAACACCCCTCCTCACCTCCCCGCTCCAATCCCCCCCAGGCAGGGAAACAACCCAACAAACCCCGTCACCGGCCCCCCCTCACCAAACCTTCCCAAACCAGCTCCACAAACTTAACCCTCCTTGGGATAAAACACATTAACTTTGTTCAGCAAACGCCTCAAAAAAAAATCCACGCCCACCGAAACAATCAAAATTCTACCTCGTAGAAAATGGGC